TATAAGTATGGCAACAAATATGGATTACAATGAGTTTCATCTCCTAAGCATGAAAGATTTCTATTTGACGAACAAAGATATCACAGTAACTAATGCATTCGAAATCATTTGGGAGGAATATCTATGTTTATATCAAACCTGCCTTCGTAACAGTGTAATGATCATGTGTTTCATAAATATCCAACTTCAAGCTTACACTTCATGATCAAACATTTGAATTTGAAAAAATAAGCATTTTAACAAGACGCTGTTCATCCCATCATGATTAACACATTGCAACGCAAGACAACTTTTACATCAACGTCACAACACTCCAGAAATTAAGTTCACCTTTCAAGATCAACTCTACTAGCTTCAATATCCAATTATGTAATTAATGAACGATAAAACTCTTATGTCTACTTAGCAATCTTTTATATCTGACTCATGGTGTGGGGACACTATGCGCTCCCGCAGAGCTGATAACCACACTTATCTGTGCGTACACAATGGTGACGGCCTTGACTGTTAAAATAGGAAATACTAAAGATGATTGATAGACTCTTTAAATATTCTAGTAGCTGAACTAAAAACTCTATAAGCAAGGCAAAATCTTCATGAAGGTTTGGATCTGTATCATGTGATTTCGTTGCTTTTACTTTCCCAAAGTTGTACCATAAGGTATCGATTAGAATTACGTTTATAATAATTTTTTTAATACTTCACTACAGCACTACTTTGAAAATACATATTTTCTTTAGTATAATATATAAGAAAATCAAAAAGCATAAATTTACACATTACGAAAATATGAGAATCGATCAATATAAACTTGTTTTTCTAACATAAATATATTTTGACAAAGCTAACAGAGCGTTCAGTGACATGATGACTGCCTTTATTTCTCTTAAATATGAGCGAAATGAACCGTCATATGATGCACAAGTAATTAGTTGTGAAAGTTACGCCTGTACTTACGTATCTGAATTGGATATACGGTGTAAAATTTATATCTATTATCCTATATAAAAGTTATCGTAATTATCACTAGGGGTTGTTAAGAAAATGAAGGCATAATTTGTGTGTCGAATACCACTTTCATAAAAAATATCTTAGTATTACTGAATTCGAGTGTCAAAACTTTGTGTTGAAAACAGCAGATGCTAATGCTATTAGCATTGGAATCCCAAATAACCTCGAATAGAGATTCATAAGAATTCAAACTAAATCGATTTTAAATTTTGACAATCCGTGTGTTCGATTTATTGTAAAATTGAAGTTTGTGTGACAAAAGACTTTGATAATGAATCTTTTTGTAAACATTTGAATGTTGACGTTATCAACACCTTTAATTTGGTAATTGGTGACACACAAGAGTGTATTTAGGTAATATTACTACAAATAAATAAAGACTTTTGTGTTGATTTTAATCTATGTAATATGAGCGAAGTATAGTTTGCAGTAATTGACAATCTTTTATCATCATAAGAAGACTTTTAATAGAGAGAAAAGCAGCACGTGTATAGATGCGAGTGAAGGTGTTCTTATTATCCGAATTCAAATCCTCAAGTTACATATTTTTGGGAAATCCTGTTCGACTGAGTATCCTAGTTATATTGAATATAATCAAAGCAATTTTATCTTGAGTAGAAAAAAAAGGTGCGTTTAAAATATTACACCCACACCCACACCCAGCGACTAGGATCAATTTTTGTCTTTTTATCATTCTCTTCAAATGCGTCCATGTGACATCGTCGAATAGGTCATTGGCACTTTGAATCCTTAATGCTAATCTCTAAAAGCTCTATGAAGTCGACCTGATATACTTCTTTGATAAACGTCTTGTTGGCACCACTCCTAAAAGCACTGTTCAAGGATAATGATATTTCAGGCGGTTACGGAATCCATTCGACGAGTTGAGCACTATTTGATAAATTTCTATTTATCTGAAACAATCAAATAATTCTAGTTTCAGTTAATGATGATGGAATTCGATGAATAGAAATAAATTTTAATGATAAGACCATGTTGGTTTTCGATTTCAAGTATTCAAAATTTAGTTATGAAAATTTGTTTGACTATTGTAACATTCATAAATCATCAGGACAACTTGAAATTTTCTATCATAAACATTAGTTAATCTAGAAAAGAAAATATATATCAATCGATGTAATACGTATTTTTAAAAGTTCCATTTACACAAGCACTATATGTTTGTGTTCAAATAGTTCAATATGATGTAAGACTAACATCCGCGTATTATTATTATTATTATTGATCGTACTGAAAGAGATTTATTTCTGATTTTTTTTATATTAGTTTAGTTCAATTTAAGATGATTGATGGGATCAAAAGTGAAACTCAGCCTTCAATGAAATACTCGTCTATCGATTCGAAATGGTAGCTTACTCTTGACAAACAACATTCTAACGAGCTCATTTAATGATGTCTATACTTCAAATAATTTTTTTATCGATTTTTTTCAATATTATCTTTGACTTGCACTATTCACATTTTCATAATGTAGAATGACATTTGATGTTTTGAATATTTAGTTTATCTTACAGAAGGTATCAAAATTCTGAATACTAAAGAGAAGACTTGAAAATTATTATATTTTTCAAACATAATATCAAACTTACTCTATCGCATGATTCTTCGATGGCAGCTTCTCAATTATATTCATCATGTGATAAATGTTTCCATCGTTGATTTTCTTTCATCAATCCTTTACGTAAAATGAAAGTGCTTATCAAAGCAATCATTAATGCTTCAGCGCAAATTGAATGTTCTCGTCAATAAGTCGATTTATCAACTTAACGATAGGCCTATCCAAAAAAAGAGATTTTTTGATCTCTTAGTTATCATGCTTGAACTCTACTATGTAAATTTGTAAAAACTCACTTAAAATTCTATGGCGGCACCTAACTAATCTATTACAACGGAAAAGAAGATAGCTATCGCTTCTTTATGTGATCATCAATGTTTATTGTCAACCAACTAAATCCAATAGGAACCGCTGTATATGCGCCACAGCAAGCAATGGAGCTGCTGATATAAATTAATATTTTACCAGGATCTACTGGACTTGGCATTAAAATGAAACCGATCAGGAAGATAAATAAGCATTGCCAATCTCTCAGATCAGCAACATCTTTCATTTGAGTGATCCCATATGACTACAATAAAACATTAGCGTCAATGTGATTATCTATTTGTTTTTATAACATCTCAAAATGAAATATCAGATCTTCAAAGTAGTTTTTTTTTTCAGGCAAAACTAGAAATTAATAATATAGGAAATACTTGCCATGACTGCTCCGAAAGCGCCACCAATGATGGATCCTCGAGAGGAGAAAGGTATTTTCGTCGTTTGCTCTGTTTTTCGACATCATAAGGAAAGAAAAATGGTAATGCCAAAAAAATAAGCTGCTATGACTATTGCCTTCAATAAAAAGATCATAAAACCTATTAATAATTCTATTGTTCGATTAACTTGCGAAAAGAAAATGAACCGAGAATAATTTTCTGGCATTTTTTTTTTACAAAAGCCGTACCCTTTATAACCGTTCCCCATAAAATCATACTCAATGGCAAATAATTTCGTGTCGAGAAAACATAATAGAACGAAGCTTGGAATGCCAAAGAGTATCTAGAAAAAAAATATGAATAAAACAGAATAGTCGATTGTGATGATTCACAAACACGTGTAAAAATCAGTACTTTTTTTGAAAGAAAAAAAAGGCGCTCATTTTTAACTTTAGCATCAAAGATAGATGCATTAAAATCTATAGAATTGACAAAAAGCTTGATTATGGTTGGTTCGAAATGTTTGAAACAACATGTTTGATCACCTTGGACGGTTCGAAAATATTTTAGAAGAGTCGAACACTATGGAATAAAATTAAAATTCCGTGTTTCTTTCGAATATGAACTTAAGAATGATGTCTCTGTCGTCCAGAGTTGACAGTTCTACAAAACTAACATGTCCAATAATTTTAATATCTTCTTCAAAGAAGGCAAGTAGGCTGAATAGTTCCTAATTTCTCTGAAATTGTCTCAAGCGTCCCAAAAATGATTTGATGTTTTATCTTATGATCTTTGACACGCTGACAACAATACAAATTATTCAATTCTTACTTACATAAGCTATGTAAAGCAAAGAGATTACCAATCCTTCTTCTGCTGTAGATAAATCGTGATTTAATTTAAGACTATGACAATCACCACATCTATTCAAATATACATATATCTATATATACTAGGTTTCAATTCGGTTTAGTAACCTATCATACACCATCAGTTCTTTTGAAAGGAAAAAAAGAAAATTATTTTGTTATTTTGATAAAAGATCAACATGATTCATAAATCGTTTGGGGTACGTATTTGACATGATTGAGAGAAGAGCAACATATCTTGAGATTAAGTAGAAAGGAAGTAATTTTTAAAAAACATATTTCAAATAAGCAAATACATAGTTACGATTGAATTAATTACCATTTTGCAGATCCTAGACTTTCTAATCTAGAGAAAATTGAGTATAGGACATATAACAACCTTGCCCAATAATTTTGTTAGAGATATGCTAGATGTCAATTTCTGAGACTTTTTAAATTGATTGAGTGTAAACATGAACCACTTTCTGAATGATTAATATTTATTCTTGAAAAAAAAAATTTTTTTTAATTGCGAATTGAAGGTATTTATGTCAGTGCTTTTGACATGGAATTACCCATTACTTCCACAATGAAACAATGCAACTTCAGAAGATTTTATCCAGTACATGAATCACATAGCATGAGTGTAGGGTGTTAGTCAAGGTAGGTGAATATAGGGCGACTCCTAACCCGTACCCACACCCAGAACTTCCTAACTGGTACCTACCACGCTCGCATCAGATACCGACGATTACACACATATTTAAGCCCTGTTTTTTTAAATAAGACTAATGTTCATTTTTATTTTCTGAAAACGTTCTAACAAAACTATTTGACAGTGTAGCAAATGTATAACGTGCTGTTTTAAATATCGACAATGCGAACTGTGCGTAAGTTTGGATCTTCGATACCAACTAGGGAGCCGCCTTTGTCGAGAAAATATTGCAGAAAATCACGATGATGCCGTTCCATAATTTCACCAGGAACAAGCAGTGGAACTCCAGGTGGATACGGTATTACATTCTCTGCTAGCACGTGTCCTACGGCCTCATCTAGAGAAACACGTCGAATTTTTGTGGCAAAATAAGCATCACGTATATTTATAATCGAACGAGGTAAGCTGTCCGGTGGTTTGATGAATGAAAAATCTGCATGGTTGCATTGTGGATGATATTTAGATAAATGGCGTAAAGCATCGAGCAGTTGTTGAGTTGTAGATTCCGTGTCGGCAAAAGTAATTGAGCAAATAATTTGTCGAAGATCGGCAAATTCCACTTCGACATTGTATTCTTGTCGGAGTATTGTACTGACTTTGAATCCACTAAGACCGGTTTCGCTTACCCGAATGATCAATTTACTGGGATCAATGGCAAAAATACTGTTAACACCGATTAATTCATCGCCATAGCACCACAAACCGTCCATTTGACGAATAGCATCTCGAGTTTGTCGTGCTAAAACAAGTATTTTTGCTAAGCGTTCACGGCCTTCGATAGCCGTTTGCATTCGTGCTGCATCAAGTGAAGCTAACAAGATAGAACTCGGTGATGAACTTTGCAGAAGCGATAACATTTGTGCTACACGTGCGCGATTGACCAAACCGTTGTCATTCAGATGTAACATGGCTGATTGAGTGAGAGAACCTTGTGTTTTATGTGTACTGTGAACAACAACATCTGCTCGCAGAAAAACTGCTGATTTGGGCCAATCGGAATGTAGTCCGAGATGTGAGCCATGTGCTTCATCTACCAAAAGTGCTACACCATGTGAATGAGCCAGATTACAAATGGCCGCTACATCTGACAGAACCCCATAATAATTCGGCGATGTTAAATGAATGGCAACAACATCGGAATGTTTCTCTAGGAGACTTTGCACTGCTTGCACACTGACAGCCAGAGGAAAACCAATGTCCGAATGATAATCGGGTTCGATATAGATTGGTGTCGCACCTGAAAGAACTATTGCTCCATAGACAGATCGATGCGATGCACGTGGCATGATGATCTTTTGACCGGGACCGACTACACCCATTATAGCAGCCATATTACCAACGGTAGAGCCATTGATAAGAAAAAATGTTTCATCAGCTCCGTACGCAGCCGCAGCTAATTTTTGAGCTTTGAGTAATGCACCTTTGGGTGAGTGTAAGTAGTCGATATTTCCATTGATTTCCACCACGTCAGCTGGATATAGATTGCCACCGAAATAATCTAAGAGCATTTGATGAGGTATCTCTGTTCCCTTATGACCGGGCATGTGAAAGGATGTAGGTCCCAGCGTTTTTTCACTAAGTAAACTTTCAAGATACGGCATTTGTGTTTGATCCAATGAATCAACACCATTGCTCATCATAGACAAAGTTTGTTCACACTGTGATGCCATTACTGCGGTGAAACAACGCGCTCATAAAAGAATGAAAGAGAACGCACGTCTGAACTTTGTATTGCTTCTTTTTTTGAATTTTTTTTATCTCCATTTGTCTTTGTCCTTTGTTCTTTCATAACTTTTTCTGTTTCTTTCTTTCTTCTGTTATCATTTGCACGCAGATGTACTTTTAAGTCCTGAATGCGCCCACTCTCACACTGAAAATTGCGTCACAACTCATGTTCTTACTTTTTTCTATGACGCTAATACGAATAGCATTGTTTATAATGTGTAGTTGAATCGGTTTCATTGTAAAGAGAACGAACAAAGAGCACAGATGCAATGTTAAAGTCGCTGTTATGTTTATCTGCCATCACAACAAGCGAACCGAGTGTTTTATCTTTCTTTTTACTTTTATTTTTTCTTCTATCAAGTCACTATTGACAATAAAAAGCTTGTTAACACAGTCCCTTTGTGGCTGAAATGTGGAACTCACATATGTTCTTTACCTGTATTAAACTAATACAAAATAGATGAAGTGAAAAACCCTTCATAGATTATAGTTCTGCTCGAAAATAATCAATTAGAAAAGTAAAAATTTGTCTTATTTATTTCTGCGTTTCGGACAGAATTTTTTTTTCTATGGGCACTCTATTATTTGTTTGCACTGTTGCTATTCTCTGATTATTTTTCATTTTTTTAATTTGTGTTTTCTTTATTTAACCTTGTTATTATTGTAATCATTGAACTATTCGACGAATAAGTCTATTTTATATATCCATGATATCTAGAGCAGACTCTACGTACTATTGTATATATGTTAATCAACTCACAAATAATGACGATGACTATTTTTCAAAAACTTTAGAAAGTCTGATGTCTGTTAATCTCGATTGCTAAAGTCTGTAATAGAGAGGAAGTTAGAGGAATGAAGCTGCAAAGTCTTGCTCTTAAACTTACACTCAGTATTTTCGAAGAAAATGTATGTCAATGTCATAAAAGACGCTAGCACTCATTATGTTAGAAGCAGATAAGCAAAATAGACTTTATGAAAGTTATACAACTTTTCGTAGAGAACAGAAAAAATTGTTTTCAGAAGAGGTCACTGCCCATAAAACAACGCAATTGCTGACGCATTGACTCCTCAGAAATGAGGACGTCATCATCGAACTAAAAGTCTATGATCTTATATCGAGTTTAAGACTCTTGTCAAATGAATTCATGAATGTTGAAGATGACGTCTAAATTTATTTTAGTTCTATTACACATGTAAAACTACCCCTATTTTGAGAGACCTTTCTATATTTATAATATCCTGCACACCATGTAAAAGACAAAACAGTTGAATGATTAGGCCAAGAAGAGTTTAGCGATGATTCAGGATTTTAACTAAGATGATACGAAAGAACCTTATTCAAATCAGATGCAAAAACAAGATTAAAAATACTGGTACCTTTGATACATATTATTGGTTAAAGTGTCGAAATGTTGTTTCCTTTCGACAGTGGCTGATTTTTATTCATGATAGGCATTTCTATAATGACTATATTTCGAGTGCCAGAAGATACATACCTTATCTCTTTCAGAATCATAAATCTAAAGAATTCTGACAGTATCTACTCAGGATTCTTTCAAGATTTCATCAATTTCCTACTTGGGTTTTTTCTAAACTAAGGATGCAGAGTCGTTAATGGAAAGTCGGACACGGCTGTGCTCCAATTTTATGAAGTTTTTTTCAATATCACTTCTGAAACCTAATACGGGAATGCAGTCAAGAGTTGCAGTTATGTCAGCGAAAGGTCTTAGCAAGAATAAAGCAAGGTTAGTCAGACTGCTAAACGAATAAATCCTAGCAAGTTTCGATCAGAATTCTGCTCTGAACTTTTCAGGAACAAACGCTCTCAGATTCTTATAAGACAATGCCAACCGTGATCAGAATGTTGATGAGAATATACAAGGATTTCGTTTAGGTCTATGGAAGTTTTCATTTGGATTCTATTAGAAAGTCAACTTTCAGCATCCTATCAATATTTACAACCAATCCAAACTTGACAGAATGAAGAAACCTATCAGGATATTATTCTAATGATAGTTGAATCTATGTATGAGCAAAGAGAGAGCTTTTGGCATAAATCCAGATTTCTTTTTTTAAGATCTTTTATCTATTTATATTGAAATTGGTTTGAGATTTCGGTCAGAAACATCATTATTTTTGTGATTTGATATAGAAAGAGAATTCGAAAACTTATCAAGCTAGGGTATTAATTTAAATTTATTGACTGCATTATCTTTTTCATTAAAAGCCTATTTTTGAGTAAGTGGCAAATAATATTTTAAAATCTATTCATAGTTTGCATTATATGTAAAAAAAATTAAAAATAGATTCTTTTATATTAAATTCAAATTAACAAAAAATAGTGAAAATTCTTAATTAAAAGTGCTGGTTATATTGATATTGGATTTGCCTATTTTTTTAAGACAGTTGATGTTCACGTAATATCTAATTACAAAAAATTCAGTCGAAATTTAAAATATGGAAGCATGTATTTATATATAATAACCTCAAAATCGTTCCAAGATCTTGTCCCCAATACTGTCAAAATCGTTAAAATTTTGGCACTACACGTTTCTTTCAGAATTTGTGATTTCCTAGACTGTTTTCTGGTTTTTAAGTCTGGTAGAGAGCTGCTGAAAATCCAAATGAAGTTATGTTCTGAACCTTGTCAGGACCTTGAAATTATGTGGTTACACGTTTTCTTCAAAGTTTATTCGTTTTCTCACAAAAAAACAGTGAAACCTTCCAGGGTCTTTACTGGATGCTTCAAGGAGTTAGGCAGAAACACCAAAATTTTTCACTATGACATCTGTAGATGTGATATGATAGTGACCAAATCAAGAAGATATCGAATCACATTAGGCCGAATTATTTGAACTGAAATCGTTTGTTGTCGATTTATATAATGATGGACGTCAACGATTCACAAGTAAAATAACATACTGTTTTCTGGTATGCGCAACAAGTAATCCCTTAGAAGTATGTAGCTAGATCGTTTAAGTCGTGCAAAGACGGATGTTGTTTCACAGAATTTCTCTCTGTATCAAAGCCATTCACTGCTTGATTCGATGTTTCCGCTTCATTAGAATCTTGTGCAGTAAGCATCCGTGGGTTAAAAGTAATCGAACCTTTTGGGATAAATGTCGAGGCAAAAACCATGATCGATACGATCGAAAAATGCACACCGGCTGTATAAATTAGAGCAGGCCTAATCGTACCCTGATCATTATAAACACTATCAATGTAGATTCCAAGCAATGGATTAGCAATGGCGTACAGAATGATATAGGACGAGTAGAGAAATGCCATGACAGCCCCTAGAGGTGAAATGTTTTTGTCGTTGGATCCGGCACTTGTCAATGACGATTGAATATAAGCACCGAGTGAAACATCACCAGCGGCCCATCCAAATGAGATCGGAATGAAGGTAGCGGCCATCATCCAGGCATACTTGACTTCATTTGCTGGTGGATAAAAGAAAGGAATATACCAAACAATCATTAACAGTATAGCATCTAAACGAAGCCAAGGCATTGGTGTACGAACAGTACTGGCGAGAACGAAGACGATAAATGCACCAATCAATTCACCGAAATTCGAGCCGCCTACAATAATCTGTGACCAGGCCGAATTTTCAAAATACCGTTTTGCTACTTGTGGAGCTATACCATTTTCAAGGTAACGATGAGCGTAGAGTGCTACTGAATAACCAGTCCACAACCATATGAATTGGCGTTTCGTAAAAATAAGTTTTCCACCAATATAAACTGATTTTCCGAAAAGAAAGAATTTCTTCAAAACCGATTTCACATAGTTCGACTCATTTTCATCAGGTTCTTCACTTTCAATACGAGAAAATTTTAGAGAGCCGAGAAAAAACCAAACGATTCCGCACGCTGTGAAACAAAAAGGTGTAATGATAAAAGCGTAATTGTTTCCTAGTCGAGGAATAAGTCCGAGAGCAGTTGCAAAAGCTCCAGCCGTACCTGATACTTCATAACAAATGTGAACTAGTGAATCCATCCTTTGTAATTTGTCTACATCCCCACCAACAATATCTCGCGGAATGATGCGTCGAATCAATTCAACCATACCATAAGCAATACCAGTAACACAATAAATTGGAATGATCAAGTCAGTACTATAACGACCATAGTAACTAAAATCATTCTTATGTTTCGGTGTAAAATTCGCTGGCTTAATATATCCACCAGTGGCACTATCAATAACCATTAAAATGACTGTAACAATAGCAAAACTGACGATCGATACGGAAAGAACTGTACGTGTTGGCCAACGTTTAACTAATGGTGCAATGAGAATGGAACCGACACATTGAAATGCTTGATTAAGACCAGAAAGCAAACCAATTCGTTGAAAGGTTTGCGACGGTTTTTGTGTTTTAAAAGCATCTTGATCATATCGATTCGTCGCCAATGTGACGATAGCTCCATTGAAAGCTTCTAAGCCGAATTTGTAAAGCATGATACCAATAATGTACACAAAAATATTTCTTTTCTCTTGTGCCGAAAAAAGTTTCCATACTTGAAGAAATTTAGATGATTTGAACAACATATTTATCTAGAAGTCAATCATAATGATTTTATGTTAAATGATTTTTCAAACAAACAATTGTTGTCAGTGGCCTCAATTCTATTTTGGACGTCGTGCTTTTTTTGTCTTTTTTTAAGCTAACTCTTGCATAGTGAAAATAATACATAAAAACTTAAATTTACTTATTAGAAGCACATCGAGCGAGTATTGAAGTTTTTACGTGTTCTACGAGAGTATTTGATTGTTTGATGTAATAGATTCATCAAATGAATGACTAGACGGTTTGTTTGAAATGAAAAAATGAAACCTCGATTGACACTTTTGTTTTACTCGGCTTCTCATATTGATTTAGTGTTGAATGAAAAGAAAAACGTACGTGAATGAACTTATCAATGAAGACTTACCATACCGCTTTCTTGTTTATGTCCTAAGACAAAGTAACACACAATATTGTACCTGAGTGGCATGCTTAACTATTGGCCGATATCCTTTTCAACCATAATCTTCTTTGAGTCGATTTCGCATTGCATCAATTGTAATACACATTTATAAAGTGATTAAAAAATCTCCCATCTAGATTCCCAGGACGAAGATTTCAACAACTTCCAACCAAAATCTGATAAATTTCCACACTCTCCTATTAGAATTCGACAATTTCAATAGGATTCTATTGAAAATTTTTGAAAATAGCATTAGACGTCTTCCAATAATCGAAAACAATCGGTATTCATTCGGCGTCTGTCCGAAATTTTATGAGTTCTTTTAGATCTTGTCTGATTAACTGTCGGAATCATTCTCATCCATTCATACACTTTTTCTGTTACATATGAAGCTTTTTCTCAATCGTTCTTTTGTGAGCATTCTTCACTTCCATAAGTCGGACAAAAACCCAATGAGTGACCATTTCCTGTCCCTTTTGCTGGAATCAACATGCTTGTATTCAATAACTAATTCAACCAATCGACGATCACAAGTCTGAAAGGTAAAGAACGACAGTGTTAGTTAATGATATTCAAGGGAGCTGATTCGTAGAACAAACGAACTGATCGACAATAGTTGATCCTAAAAAAGGAGGCCATGCCCACTGATCATTTTTTAAGACACTCACATATTGACTTTATGCATTGATCAACGATGAAGGATCTAAAAAAAGAAAGAATCAATGTTATTTGATGGTATGGAAGCACGAAGAAGAGAACAGAAGTGAATCAGAGTACAATAAAATATTAAATCGAGAATGCCACAAGTGAGAGTCGGTAAGACCTGATGAGCAAGTAGAGAATATACTAAAGTCGCTGAATTTCTGAACACTCTTGTATTGCTTAATTTGTAATGAGGAGATGTAGTGCGTTTGTGTAAGAAAAACGGAAGGAAGAAGGGATACATTGAAGCGTGACGCAACGAAAGAAACTGAAAGCATAAAAAACACAAAAAGTATGATAAATATCAATAGAAAAAGTATGATGGGTGTGAGTGTAAGTTTAGATGTTAGTGTGAGTCACACTTGGGACCCGGTTGCCGATCTGGTTCGATCAAAGTTTTCAGAGTGACTGGTTTTTACTGCTTTTTGTCATTATTAAAGAGCAATTCATTTTTTTCTATAAATGCCATACGTTTTAACAAATAAGAATGTCATATTGATATTTGAGACTTTAAGTATGAACAGTAAGAAGAACATAATGAAATCAGTGCTATATTAATTTAAAATCACTAAACCGTATGCATAGAAAATCCAGAAACAAAAAATGTCGAAATTAAAAGGATCGAAAAAAAATACGTCGAAATAAAAAATACCGAAGAAAAAAATATCGATCATAAAAATATTCGAAAGAAAAAATATCGAAAAGTTTGAAGCTGACATAAATAGGCAATTTACTATTAGAACGTGCCTTCAAGGTGAAGCAGCTCAATTTAGACACATGTTATAAAAAAAACTCAATGTTAGTGCTCCAGGCTGGTCAAAATTAACATCGATCGATGTATTAATACTTCAAATGAATTGCTATAAAATTAATGAAATTGATCTTAATGAATTATTGGATTCTTTGTCGTAAACTGTAGCAAAGCAAAACAAATAAATCTAAACAGCCAGTATGCATGCTTACTTTTATGTCACTTTTATTATTTTTTCTATTACCTACAGTATGACTTGTGTTTAGAACTCATCCAATCTGGCCGAAGAATTTTTGAACGAAACGTTCTCTAGCTACAAAAGATTAATCAATCAGATCCAATTCTGAATCCGGGCTCAAAAAGTTTTGATCAACCAGGTGGGGAAATTCTTCGATCAGATGAGTTCTACTTGTGTATGATTGTAAAAATATTTTCTTTCTCTTCAAAACATCGGTGAAGTTATTTACATCTAAATAAATTAAACTATTGTATACTAACATTTTCGATCTTTTTTTCGACCTTTTTTTTTACGACCTTTTTAGTTTCAACCTTTCTTATACTATTCCACTAATTAATTCTAAAGGTTTAATCTGGAATTTTATTGCAAATTACTTTCCAGACAATAAACAGCGACACATTCTCACTTTGTATTACAAATGATATATTACACAGGTGTAGAACAAGAAAGAACATCTTCAAAAACTAATTCCAAATTTATTGAACAACTTTTCATCTCCTTTTGATATGCTTACTGTTTATCTTTTTTAGATTAGACATGGTTAATTTATAGCTTGTCGTATAGATGTAAGTCTTCTTATTAGAAACTCATTTGTGATTGATCTTGATCACTTGAAATATGGTCAAACTAAAATTAACAATATTTTAATTAGAAACATTAGAGAAAATCGTAAAATTTAGTTGAAAGATATTTCTTTAATGGAAAGTATTGATGAAAATCGTGCAGAAGAAGGTTTTGAAGTTTATGCAGCATAGTATATAGATCACTTTTTCTATTTTTGCAATAAATACTTTCATGCTATAATTAGTCATTTTTAGAACTTATTACTATTTTATGTATCGTATTCACAGTAAAAAGGATAAAGAAAATCAAACAAAAAAATTATGGACGTTAATCGATGCATATACTTATAAAAGAATATTTATACAAATTTAAAAATCATCCTTTTGAAATTTCATCATCATCATCATCAACAAAATATACTAGACTAAAAGTACCATCATAAAGTCAAGCATTCATAACAAAATTTACTTATAAGAAAGATAATAATTCAAATAAACATTTGATGGTATTCTGGAATTGTTGCGATTGGAAATTAAAATTAAAATCCATTATGATATACTGGACATATATGATACTTTTTATGATCACAAAGGTATTCATGAATGTTTATTGATACAATTGAATGCATTATGTGAAGTCCATAAAACATGTTGTCAATGAAGTCATAAAAGAGCATTGTTTGGCAGCAATATATGATGCATAGATAGATGATTTTATTAAAAGAGAACATTTAGTTGGCACTGTATTTTGAGTCACTAAAGAATATGAATTAAAATATTCATTTTCGTTATATAAATATTTTGAAGAAGAATAAAAAAAAACAATAGTGAATATTTGAAAAATGGATTTAAGTGAAGTGCATGCTTCTCTTGCTAAAATTCAAAAAAAAATAATAAAACTCATTCTTTCTAGAATTTGAATCAATAAAATTAGAATGTTGTGTCTCTAGTTGAAAATAGATTATCATCAAACTTCTCTATACAATCTTAATCACAACTAAATATAAAGTACAAACAAAAATATGACTTACGTACTTCATTCATGTATTAGAACATCAATTCTATACATTTTATCTATTAAACCGATATTATTGACAATATCTACGGCATAGCAATTTAGTTTACAGAGAGCCAAACATTAAAAAAATCTCTTTTATTCTCTAGTAAAAGAATTTTTCTGTTTATTTAACGAATAGAAACTCAAAAGAACATATCTTCTTTAATATATGGTCTTGTTAATTAATATATTTTACAAAGAAAATTTCATTGGCATAATTTTAATGTTAAAGAACATATAAGAAAAAAAAAAATTATCTGATTAATTCTTTTTTTTTGTCACTAAAATTAGTCAAAGAAAATAAATATTAAGGACATGAGTAAAACAACTTGACACGATCTTCAAATTTATCGCCAATCATTAATAATATATTATAAATCATAATATGATTTCTTAGAATAAAATTATAACTCAAAATGTATATGAAGAGATTTTTTTAATTCAGTTAAAATCTCTCTTTGCAATTGAATGGATTCAATCTAAGTTTTAAATAAAAATCCTTCGTAATTCGAGGATGATTCATCATTTTCATAAGTAATTTCTAGTGAAATCTGATATATGCAAAAAAATGATATAATCTATGAATTGATTCAATATATAGAAATCGAATACTCAAAATAAGTTTGACTTTTTCATATGTAATTCATACGATTATTATAAGGTCCCCGTCATTGTGCCGACAACGCATATTTCATAGAAAACAGAAAAGAAAATAATTGTTGCTTTCGTGAAAATCTTTAGAATGTTTTCTTCATTCAAATATGTTTTTATGAATAAACAAACGAATTTTAGACACTGAATATCTTTTCTAGACTTATCTGATTCATCGTTATAAATTTCTAAAAAAAATTCTGATAGTGTCAAATTCTTTTATTACTAATGTAAGTTGTTTTGTGGAACTCACATATATTTTCGAAGAAAATAGTGAATGTAAGTTTTAAGTTCAATTTTTTCGGCTCTCCACTCCTTCCCCTATTACAGACCATAATAACTCCGCCAGAAAAAAGAAAAAATTTCTGATCGAAGTATAGAGATAAAAAAAAGACGGCATTTGGTGACAATCGACTATAGTCTTTGAGAATACTTTCTCTTTTTCGATACTTTCTGGTTCTCGAATACGGTACAACCGATCAAGCTGAAATTTTCAGCACAGATAAAGCACTAAAAATAAAGGGATGCA